CGCTGTCTTGCATTGCTGAGAGGTGAGTAAAGAGTGGACATAGCCTGCTTCTGCCTTCTGTGTCAGTCACTGTCATATATGTACATATAGAGAGATATTAAAAAAATATATACTCTTTCAGGTTGTATATATTCGTGTAACTTTTGCGTTAAGATAATCCATCTGGACTTTACAAAAAAAAAAGAAAAAAAAAAAAGGAAAAAAGCATTCTAAGCGGTGTGACATTTTCCCTTCCAGCTAAGGGTGTATTTATCTCTGTGTAGGAAACTTGTAGTTTTTGAGAACACGAGTTACGAGAGGAGATTGCGCCTTTCTGACTGAATGTTGATTTGGGAGGCTGTTAGCCACGTTTCTGGTGGTGTTACCTGTCTTTGTCTAGAGATCCAAAACCAGGAACAAGTCTTGTCTTCCTCTCTGGCGTTACTCACAGGGACCACTGAACTTTGAGGAGCGCAGAAGTTCAGTCTCTTGTTCCAAAAAGGCATGCTGCAACTTTAAGGGAGATGTTCATCTTACTCCAGTTTTCTGGCTTGTAGAACGAGTTTGCTGGCTGATTTCTTTGGAAATTGCTGTAGTACCACGCAGAAATTTTTTATAACGTATCACTTCTAGCGGTGCTAATATAGCGTTATACTGCATTATTCAATGGAAGCTTTGGGGAAGCATGGTAGAAACAAGTGCGCTGGTGAAATTAAATATTTCATTGAAAATTCTGCAGCTTGTAAGGCTGAAGTTAAATGTTCCTGAAATACCACGTGGTAGGATTTCTTTGCAGGGCTTAGTAAAGTTGGAATTGATCCTTCTATTACTTGCAGTTGCTCTTAACCTTTCAATTTGAGGTTAGTCCTCCAGGAACTTTCTTCTACACTTAATATCGAAACAAATGGATGCTATTTCAGAGACCTGTTCATACACAAGTAAAACCAATTAAAGCGTTATTCCAAATTGTGATTCCACATCTGTGCTGAATGGTGACCGCTGTAATGCAGAGCCCTCAGCACGGGCATTAACAAACTTCTGCAGGGATGGGTGGGGAAGGAGAGGTGGTGGGGTGGCTCTGTGTGTTGAGGAATGTTGTGAAAGGTCAGGAATTGAGCACAGTGATGGTGGGATTGAGAGTGTTTGGATTAGGTTAAGGTTCAGTGAAGCTGATGTTGCTGTGGGGGTCTGCTATAGACCTCCCAACCAGTGAGGTGGGTGAAGCTTTCTATAAGCAGTTGGGAGAAATCTCACACTCACTTGCCACGGTTCTTGTGAAAGACTTCAGCCTTCCAGGGAATACAACACGGCAGAGAGGGAGCAATCCAGGAGGTTCCCAGAATGTGTGAGGGATAACTTCCTCACACAGCTGGTGAGGGAACCAACCAGGGAAGGTGCCTGCTGGACCTCCTGTCTGTGAAGAGAAGGTCTTGTGAAAGATGTGGCAGTTGGAGGCCGTCTAAGGACCAGCAATCATGAAATTATCAAGTTCTCTATTACTGGAAACACTAGGAAGAATGCCAGCAAAACTGCCACTTGGGACTTCCACAGAGCAGACTTTGATGTGTTTGGGAGGTTACTCAATAAAATCCCTTGGGAATTGGTTTTGGAGAGTGTAGGAGTCCAGGAAGACTGGACGCTACTCAGGGAGGAAATCTTGAAGGCGCAGGAGCAGGCCATCCCTACGTGCCTTAAGACAAGGTGGTGACATGTACCTATTCAGCCAGGATGGTTTATGTTGCTGAAGATCAGGGAAAAAAAGAGTTGATGGCCTCTGGAAAGGAGGGCAGGCCACCCATAGTGAGTAAAAGGATGATGTTAGGTTATGTGGGGAGATTATTACAAGGTCCAAGGCTCAGGTGGAAATTAATCTGGCCTTGAAAGCAAAGGACTGTAAGAAAAGCTTTTATAAATACATTAATACCAAAAGAAGAGAGAGCCTCCCTCCCCTGCTAGACCCAGAAGGAAATACAGTAACAAAAGACAGGGATAAGGCTGAGGTTTCTTCTTTGCCTTCTTTGCCTCAGTCTTTAGTAATAGTGACACCTGTACTGGGGGAAGCCAGCCCCCCAAGTCGAGAGAGTGGGACCTAGAGCAAAATGTCTCCCCTACAATTCATGAGGAGACGGTCAGGGACCTACTACTACACGCTGATGGCCGTAAATCTATGGGGCCAGACGGGATACACCCTAGAGCACCAGGTGAACTGGTGGGGATTCTCGCCAGACCACTCTCCATCATTTATCAGCAGTCCTGGCTGACTGGAGAGGTCCCAGCTGGTTGGAAGTCAGCCAGTCTAACACCCATCTATGAGAAGGGAAGGAAGGATGACCCGGGAAAATCCAGGCCTGTCAGTTTGACTTCAGTGCCAGGGAAGCTGATGGAGCAGATCATCCTGAGTTCCATTAGGCAGCACGTGCAGGACAACCAGGTGCTCAGACCTGGTCAGCAGGGGTTTGGGAAGGGCAGGTCCTGTTTGACAAACCTGTTCGATCTCATTCTGTGACAGGGTGACCCGCTGGATGGATGAAGGAAGGGCTGCAAGTCGTATGAGGATCTGGGGCTGCTTAGGCTGGAGAAGAGGAAACTGAGGAGAGACCTCATTGCTCTCTACAGCTACCAGAAGGGAGGTTGTAGAGAGGCAGGAGTTGGTCTGTTCTCCCAGATGGAGAGTGACAGGACGAGGGGAAATGGATTTAAATTGCGCCAGGGGAGGTTCAGGTTGGATATTAGACAGAATTTTGAAAGGCCTGTCAGCCGTGGGCACAGGCTGCCCAGGGAGGGGGTTGAGTCCCCGTCCCTGGAGGTGTTTAAGAGAAGGATGGATGTTGCGTTGGGGGGCATTTTTTCAGCTGGTTGATAGGGCTGGGACAAAGGCTGGACTCGATGATCTTCTGGGTCTCTTCCAGCTGATACAGCTCTATGATTCCAACAAACCAGTTTGAAGAAACGACTGCTTGAGGTAAATGAAGGAATGAGCATCAGCCTGTCAGAAGTAAGGTTATTTAAAACCAAACAAATAAATTCCAGGAGTTTTGAGTGTCTTTAACCTCTGCTGAAGTCACGAGTGCTGGGTCTTCAAAATCAGGCCGTTAGTGAATCCACCTGATCAGAATCTGGAGTTCCTGGTAAAGCACACCAGGATTTCCCTCTCTGGTGGGGTGCTGGTGGAACACTGGCAGCGGTGCTTTTAAGAGAGCCTGCGAATAATTTTCTTGGCTCTTGTCTGTGGTGACGAACACAACGCTGCCCGCACTGCGATTTTTAAATAACTCTGCGTTCATTCTTCCTCTCCTGTTAAGTCAAATCAGTTTTATTTACACCACTTCA